CCTGATTTGTTGTGTCATTTTGATGACCTCTGACCTACTGGTGGCCATTTTAGACCAATAAAACATGATTTCATCATGTCTTCAATGATTTACCTGCTTGCCATTGCTGATGCATGCCACTTTTCTGACTTTAATTTTGATTGCTCATTAATATTCATGAGTTAATTAATATTCATGATTGTTTTCCTACCAGCTGCTACTTTAATTAATTTAACTTTTTCGTTGACAACAAATTAATTTAGTTTGATAAACACCTTTGGAATTTTTTCTAAAATATGTATCTTCAAATTTTGTGTGCCATATTTCTGAATCAAGGTTTGATTTGGTTTTATTTTAGTTTCCCAGATGTATCTCTCCATTCGTCCATTGCATTTTAGTTTTATAAGTTTAACCCCCTAACTTTGTCATTTTTGTTTTATAAGTTTAACCCCCTAACTTTGTCATTTTTGTTTTATAAGTTTAACCCCCTAACTTTGTCATTTTTGTTTTATAAGTTTAACCCCCAAACTTTGTCATTTTTGTATTATAAGTTTAACCCCCTAACTTTGTCATTTTTGTTTTATAAGTTTAACCCCCTAACTTTGTCATTTTTGTTTTAGAAGTTTAACCCCCTAACTTTGTCATTTTTGTATTTATAAGTTTAACCCCCTAACTTTGTCATTTTTGTTTTATAAGTTTAACCCCCTAACTTTGTCATTTTTGTTTTATAAGTTTAACCCCCTAACTTTGTCATTTTTTTGTAGATGATAAATACATGTCAGCTTTTTTAGGTGTTATACCTAAGAAGGAATTGGATGAATGTCCAGGATGTTTTAACATTAATCTATTAGCTGTCAACAAACATGGTAGTTAGAATACAAGATGTCCAACATTACTCTTAGCTGTCAACAAACATGGTACCATACTCGATCGCGTTAGCACCCATTCCCGGTCAAGTGCCCACCCCCCATTTTTGTGCAATTTTTATATTCGGGGTCACATTCGGCAAAGCGCCCACCCCTTCAAAATGCCACTAATTTAAAACTTGGTCTTTGATCATTGCTTAACAATTACTGGTAATGGTTCTTATATGATACAGAATGGATATGGACCGCCGTAGACAACAGTAACCATGCAAAAACTACGCTTCGACAATGATCTGTTAATAAATGTAAAATGCAGTAAATTTTTCATGCTATATTCAGTTTACCTATTTAAAATTGCTAATTACCAGATTTTTGAAGAAAAATTTATGTTTATTTGCCAAAATCAATTCCAACAGATGGTACTTCGACATCGCTAATTCACTTCTGCATTGCGTTACCAGAAAGTCTACAGGAATTTCCGACTTGGCCTATTATGTCAAAGGACATTGTTGCTAGTCAAATCAGGCAAATACATCATGGCAGAAAGTTTGCTTATGATGCAACGCATTCATCAGTGGAGATAATGATGAAGATTTTGACTTTGACTGTGTTCAACAGACTCTAAACATTTTAATTTCAAAAAATTGGGTTGTACGTAATTGATATTGTAATGAAATGTGCATATTTTTTGTATCGTTTCTGTTTCTTCAAGTCAATGACAATGCAACTTATTTCGTAATTTTATTCTCCCTCTAAGTTGTACTATATAAAATCACCCTCATTCTGGCACATTGTCATTTTCACTCTTTTCTGAGGGGGGTGCTCAGGTAAGCGCCCATCCCTAAATTATCATGATTTTCTATGTTGAGGACCCTGGGTGCGAACGCGGTCAAGTACGGTAGAAAACAGGATGTTCCAACATTTGATTCTTCAACTTTGAGTTTATTAATCAAGTCATTAATCAAATTTTATTGATTGTAGATTCAAAATTGAACTTATTAATTAAGTAGTTAATCAAGTGTTATTGATTGTAGATTCAAAACTGAGTTTATTAATCAAGTGTTGTTTGTTGCAGAGTTCATTTCTTCAATCATTAATCAAATGTTATTTATTATAGATCATTCACTGACAACATTATTCAATTTTTCATAGATTATTAATCAGCTGAAATCTAGTGAAAATCATTGCTTCTTTTTCTACTAGCTGAGTTGGTGCCATTTAATGTAGATTCAACCCCTTAAAGATACACTAGCTGTAACGACCTAGTTTTTTGTATTGCAAACGTGTTCTACATGAATAGCAATTATTTCCGTTCTATTAGCTGAAACTAGTTAAATTATTTGGTACCGGGCCCTTCTGTATGCTTTATAAGCTCGCTAAAAGCACTGAATCAACATCGTGAAGTGTTTATTGTACGTACCCTAAGCTCCGTTTGTTAAACCATCATACGTCATTACTGATTGTTTGCGCGTGCGCAATTCCGAGTACTTCGTTGTGTCGTCACCGGAAGCGCTGTTCCAGCACAAACCTGTGTCATATGACGCCTTACCGTTGTGTCGTCACCGGAAGCGCTGTCCCAGCACAAACCTGTGTCATATGACGCCTTACTAGCCGATTTTGGCTAAAATTCCACTCCGCCGCCTCTTTACAACAGTGTTTATACGCGGAACTTGATATTGCTTTTTACAATTTGGGTTGCCTTTGAATCACATATTATAGTGAAATATTGTTTATAAAGTGAAATATTATTGTCATACATAATTCAATCTTTGAAACAACAGAAACTAACACATAATAACGATAATCAAATTTGTGTTTGAAGTTCGAAAGTAGTTGCGTTATTTCCGGTTTCAACTAGTTCGAAAATAGAACGTCCTTGAGCGCAA